AAAAAAAAAAAAAAAAAAAAAAAAGGGCCCTCCACCCACAGCTGTACAGCTGCCAGGAACGATAAAGCAGAGACTTCACCCAGTGGCTTGCAGCTCTGCCCAAGGACCTCACCGAGCTAGCCAGGTCTTTCACTTGTTATGTTCACCTACACCCTTAGCAACCACTTGCTCTTCTTCCTGACTAAGTTCTGTCACTGCTAGTGAAAGGCAGATGATTGTGCAGCTTCTGGGCTCTCACTAAACACACGGTTGGTTTTGTACGGCTGGAAATGCCCTTCAGTGCTCCGTTCCCTCCCACTCTACCTGGACTTATCGTGTGTGTCCCAAGAGGTGAATCAAAGCCCAGGCACAGCAGGGGGTTGGACAGCCTTGCATTTCCTCAGCACCACCTTAATCTCCTAAAAGGATTAGTGCATAAACCTGTCTGGAGTTAATCCAATAAATGTGTTAACTACAAACAACCAAGTACCCCATGACCCCTCACCCCCGGTTCTAGGCTGCTGCCTAGAATGCACTCAGCCTTTCTATGAATTTTCCCATCTGTGCTCCATCAGAGGAGTCGGTGGTCATGCTCACCAGCAGATCAGCCTTCTGAACCAAATATGTGTTTGTGGATCTATGTCACTTCTGGCATCTGCAGACTTCCTCCAGATTGACCCCCCCCCCCATAGAATTAGCCTGTTTGCAAGGTAATCAGGTGCTCTAATGCCAGTTCTGTTTAATAACAGGTTACCTGGATGACAGGATGGCAGCGTCAAACTTGGAGAACCAGTTACACAGTGCCCAGAAGAATCTCTTGTTCCTGCAGCGGGAACATGCCAACACGCTCAAAGGCTTGCATGCTGAGATCCGACGCCTGCAGCAGCACTGCACAGGTAACCAAGGATCATTATAGTGCCTCAACTCCAGCTCATCCCAGGCATCTCAGAATGCTCCATGTGGGAGTCAGCTGCCTCCTCCCCATTTTACAGAAGTTAAAACAAAGGCACAGGGCCTTTTCCACAGTTAGCTTGCAGGTGGAGGCAGATCTAGGACTAGTTCAGGTCTCTTCAGCTCCAGTGCTCCATCCCTTAGGCCAGGCTGTCTCCCTGCTCAGTGGCTCAGCTTTGTGTCTTCACTCCCAAGCCTTCTTTTTCCTGAAGCCACTTGAAGTACCATGTCGTAGTTGTAATCCAGTGCCAAGTGACATGCTGCAAACTGAGCGGCTGCTCAGTAACACCAGAATGACCAGAACTGACACCTCTAACCAGATACAGCATTTGGGGAGAAGCTTTTACTTCTTGGTACTGAGCCCTCTATAAAGCACTGTCTCTTGTACTCTGAAGCCTTACAGTGCATTACGTGTTTTAGCACACAAGTTAGCACTAGCACATTCAAAGTACAGTTATTTAAAACAAGTGTAGTCTGGATTTTTGTGAGCTGATGTATCGTACTACTTCATGCTCATTGACATCTTTGGTAATCTGCGGGGGATCCTTAGACCTTGGTTCAAAACTACAAGCTTCTATTCTGGTATTTCAGATCAGAACAGAATGTGGTGCTATAGGAGGGCTTGTAACATACTTGTAGTACAACATACCTATGCTCTTGGGTCTAGCAAAAGTAGAAGTTGCTGTTTGGTTTTATGCCAATCAGGACTGGTCCTTTTCTTGTGTACTGGCACAGATCCCTCTTTTGAATGTCTGACTCATTCAATGTGAATTGTCATGCTAGAAAAACTAACCAAAGAGGCTCTGTTACATCTCAGTAACTTTATTCCCAGGATGCAGGATTTTTCTCTGCAATATAGTCTATGAAACTTTATCTGAATAGGCCTTCACTTTTTTGAAGAGGATAGTCCACACTACCAGGGTATGAAGCAATGAACAAACTGCAGCCAGTCAAAAGGGAGCAAGTATTTACCAGAGAGGAGCTGCTCTATGGTAACTGCCCACGTTAGCCTACATTCAGTGAAGGGTTGCCCTGTCCTTAGCACTGTTCTCTTGAGGGCTAAGTTGTCTGAGTTCAGCTGTCGTGTACTGAGAGGTAAGGAGACGTGATACATGGGCAAGTAATGCAGAGCAGCTGATGTGCAGTAAGTCAGACATGTTTGTGGTCTTTTTATTTTTCAGATTTAACCTATGAGCTGACTGTAAAGAGTTCAGACCTGACGGGTAAGAAATACAGTGCATGCAGTTCCTTTATTGCCTTTGAGTAACTTCTAACTTTTGAAATGTGTTTGTACTCTCCTTCCAATGCAAGTGTATAACAATATTTCTGTATCATGTCTTCCATCCAGAGATCTCAGAGTTCTTGCCAGTCTCATTATATGGGTATGTGTAAAATATTCCTGCCCTCAGTTTTTTTCAAGGTCACATAAGAAGTCTATGGAAGAGCCAGGAATAGACTCTACAATTGTTGATTCCCACTCCTTTCCTTAAACAACCAGACCATCCTTTCTCTGTATTCTGCACAAGAACACAGAGATTATAAATAGTCTCCATCTTCCAATAAAACACTCTTCTGAAACTTGACTAATACTCTAATTGCATTACACAGCTGAAGAAAACCCTCCAGCCTTTTTGGAAGTGTTGTGCTTCAGCTGGTGCTGTATAAGAGCATAATATTCCCTAGGGATGATGTCTGGACTAGGCACAAAGTACAAAAGCTTAGACCTGCCATCCGCCCCTTGTGTAGGCATCTTACTGTACCCATTTTACAGATGGATACAGTAAAACATTAAATAATAAGAGCTACATTTATAAAGGAACTTAGGTGTCACTAAGTTTCTCAAAAACCTTTCTCAGCTGCTTACTTTCATCATTGCCTAAGTTTCTGCTGGTCAGCACACACAAAACTGCTTAAGTCCTCATGTTAAACTGCTCTGAACCCCAGGGAAGATTTTCATATTAGGTGTGCCCCCCGCTTCCTATTTATGTCATTTGAAGAGACCTGAGACTGGGTGTGAATCTTGGTTATAACCAGCAAACCCATCGGGTAAATTACCTGTTAGGTGGGAGAACTGGGCTGGAATTCTGTGCACCAATAAAATTTACTGTACAAAGCTGAACAGTTTCCTTGAAGCATCTCCTCCCTTTGTATTTCCACTTGTTATCATCCCCTTTCATCCCCTTCCTATCCTAAAATGATGAATTGAGCTTGAAACAGGATGTAAAAATATTATCCTCTAGAGTCTAAACGATGAAGTGACCAGGTTATCTTCAGAAGTTAGGCTTCCTTGCAGTGTTTGGAGTAAACTGTGAAGAAAGGAACTGCATTTCTCAGTCTTACTAACTGACTATAATCACCTTGAAAAAGTTTACTTTTCTTCTAGGAAATGGTAATTTAAGAAGTGATGAACTCAGAAGAAAATGTGAAGAACTTGAAGCTCAGCTGAAAGACAAAGAGACTGAAAATAATGAATTTTTAAAGGAACTGGAACAAAAAAATGCAATGATAATGGTGCTGGAAAACACCATCAAAGAAAGAGAAAAGAAGTATTTAGAAGAGTTAAAAATGAAAAGCCATAAGCTAAATATGTTGTCAAGTGAACTAGAGCAGCGAGCAAGCACTATTGCATATCTGACTTCACAGCTCCATGCAACCAAGAAAAAGCTCATGAGTTCAAGTGGGACTTCTGATGCCACCCCATCTGGAAGTCCAGTGTTGTCCAGCTACAAGCCAGCACCTCCTAAAGACAAGCTACCTGAAACTCCACGACGCAGAATGAAGAAGAGTCTGTCAACACCGCTCAACCCAGAATTTGAAGAGGCCTACAGACTAGGATCGGATGGCCGAAAGCTACTTTTACGAGAGCCTGTCGATGCTATGCCTGATCCTACTCCGTTTTTACTGGCCAGGGAGACTGCAGAGATGCACCTAATTAAAGAAAGGCCTTTAGTTATTCCACCCATTGCTTCAGAACGTACGTCAGGTGAGCCACACAGCCCAGCCCGGGAGAGGCAGCACAAGGCTCACATTGGGGTGGCGCACAGAATTCACCATGTTGCACCATCCCAGCCTCAGCCAGAGGTTGAGACGTTGGCAGTGGATCAGGTCAATGAAAGTAAAGTGGTCAGAAAGCACTCAGGGACGGACAGAACTGTTTAAGCAAAGTAATGTGATGTAATGCTCTATTCTGTTGCTATTTCTGCACTGTGATCAAATAGGATAAAATCTCATCTGCAGTAAAGTTTCTTTTAATACCCCATGCATGCCAAATTTTTTCTGGATCTGTCATTAGATTATCATACTTAATGAAACCCAAATATGACTGTGTTCATACTGCAAAGTATATAAATGCTGTGGCCAAATCAGGTGTACGTGACTGCTTGCTTCTAAGTACTACTCCATTATTATAACTGCACATGTGGACCAAAGCACAGGCTACAGTCTGCATTATTAATCAATATTAACAAGAAACAGATAAACTTAACTAATTATAAACCTGCAGCAATATGTATTGGCTGATAACTTTTATCAACAAATATCAATGTTTCTTTGATAATCAATGTCTCCATAGTGTGTATGTAGCATTTCATACGCAGTCACTAACTTTTGTGATGGCAGCACTGAAAAGAACGCAGATGTACATACGTGATTAGATGACCTAAGAAAGAACTCTTCTTCGCATAGTCTTGATCCTGATTTTACTTTTTTTTTGTGATGTTCTTCTCCAAAACTGCAAGGGTCCCAACAAGCTTTTATTTGATTAACTCTGTATTATTTTGGTTTACAACCATATTTAAATTATCTTTAACAACTTCAACTTATTATTCTGGGAGACTGGAGAAGAAAACATGAATCAGAGTTATTAGCTAACAGTCCTCGTGGAGCGAGTATGACCTCTGTCCTAATGGAAAGCCAGCTTCTGCTTTGGCATTTAGAAATGATGCCTACTATTTAAATATTACTACACTACTGAATCCTTTGCACTTACCATACCTTCCTTACAAGGCTCTCAAAGCTGCTTACCAAGGTGTAAAATACGTTCAATGTCAAAATGTAAAAACCCCTTCAGAACTCAACATGATTTATGTTATGTTCTCTAAATTCCCCTGGGCTCACTCCATTCTGAGACAGTTAAGGAAGTTTTCAAAGCCCAAATCGTAGCTTGGGAATTATCTGGCAATGTTAAGCTGTAACAGTGTAGGAGCCACTGGTATTCAGACTGAAAAGCACCTATTAGCAAACCTACACTTCAGGTAGTTGTAAATGTGTCAGTTATGGAGAGCCGCCAAGGGATATGTGGCTTCTACTGAGGGAGGGAGAAAATGGGAAATAACAGAATTGCTGGAGACAAAAATTAAAGTGG